GTTGCATTTACGACTACTACAGCAAATCAGAAAATTCGTACAATATCAAACTTAAAGTGTCTGTTCGATGCTCATGGGGTCAAAATACAGTTTATACACGTTCTAAACGAAGTAAATACCACTAACATGTCGAACCAGTAACCGTTCTTGTAAACATTTTTATAAATGTGAGATTTGATGTTCAAAATCGGGAACACAATTTTAAATGTCAATCATGACATCACGAACAGAACGGGTTTTGAATATGTTGTTGGAGTTCATAATCCCCGAACGTGCTTATAAAGTATTAGTGTAATTGATTGCATCTGCATTCAAGAAGTGAGGAATTGATTCAGAGATGACTACTTTGGAGCCACGTTTTTTCCTCCGATAAACAAACAAGAAAATGCAGCAAACTCCTCGAGTTGAGGTCTCCAAGTCAAAAAAATTCCTGACCCTTTCTGTTGATTATCCTGTTTATAACTGATTCAAGAGCGTGGCACTGAACGAACCTATATGCCTATTTGTTATTTGTTTAGTTGTTGGTTGGGAAACATGTTTATGACGTCACAAATGATGCGAAGAATCTTTAAACCAATCAGTGAAGTGTATATTAATTGTTTGTTTAGTTGTTGATGTGGCAATACATGTCTGTGACGTCACAGGTGATTGCATCATATTCTAGAAACGCCATTTTACGACATTGCATAATTTTAGCTGATTTTGGCTCAGGGGGGGAATTACTCCCGGGAAATCTTTCGAACACCCGTGGGACCACTTGTCACGACCCCCATGTTTGATCCCCGATCATTTTTTCAATTTTTTATTTTTGCGCAAATTTCGATTTTCACGTTCATGCCAAGATACCCGGGCTAAGTTCGCGCGTACAATACTTTTACCATAGCAACGTTCTGACGTTGAACTAACGATAGAACGGAACGGAACGCAGTGCAGGCAGAAATGAGTAACAGCGATGCAGCCTTTTTGCACGTTTTATGGAAAATCTTCGGCATTATCGAGGTAAGATTAAAACAAGGAGTGCCACTGGAATCCTGAGATTCAGAGCTTTGACGTGGTATGAAAAAAGATCCATAAATATTGCAATTTCTTACTGATCGAGACTCTCAAACTTTGATGAATAAAAACAGGTGCTTTTCCTCAGAGCCAGCGTCTTTTTAATTTTAAGCATTTTGCAGGAAGGTTAGAACATTTTTATTTGGTACACATTTGGGACACATAACAGGTAAACTTTTGAGCAACTTTGAAAATTATTCATTAAATTTTGACGGAATTATCAACCAAAGTGTTGGAGGATTTTGGTGTCATTTACAGTTCAAATTGTTAGTTTTCAGCGTCTCTAGATAAGGGATTTTGAGGAAAAGTTGTAAAAAGCTTATTTCTGAGGGTTCATGAATACAGGTCAATGTGTGTGTAATATCTAAGCATAACTCCTGGTAGATTTTCTCATCCATCGCCATTTGTACCCCCCGAGACGTCAAATGTGGGTCCCTAGTCCAGTTCCGATTGTTCAATTTCCTTATATGATGTTCACAAACCATATAAAAAGTTTATATATGAATGTACATATATTCTGCTTCGTATGTGTGTAATAACTAAGCATAACTCCTGGGAGATTTTCTCATTCATCGCCATTTGTACCCCTGAGACCTCAAATGTGGGTCCCTAGTCTGGTTCGGATTGTTTGATTTCCTTATATGGTGTTCAGACACCATATAAAAAGTTTATATATGAATGTACATATATTCTGCTTCGTGTGTGTGTAATAACTAAGCATAACTCCTGGTAGATTTTCTCATCCATCACCATTTGTACCCACCAGACCTCAAATGTGGGTCCCTAGTCTGGTTCGGATTGATCGATTTCCTTATATGGTGTTGGTCCCTAGTCTGGTTCGGATTGTTCGATTTCCTTATATGGTGTTCAGACACCACATGAAAAGCTTACTTATGAATGTTCGTACACTCGGCTTTATGTGTGTGTAACTATAACAATTCAGCATAAGTCTTAGCAGATTTTCTCAGCTTGATTTGTGTGTAATGAATAAGTATAGCTCCTGTTAGATTATCAAATCCAGTGCCTTTTATACCCCCTAAGATCACCTTATGTTGGTCGCTAGTCACATTCGGATCTTACTTCAGTACTACTGTTTATTTCTGAAAATTCATGCATACAGGTCAATTTGTATGTAGTAACTAAGCATAACTCTTGGTAGATTTTCTCATCCATTGCCATTTTGCCCCCCCCCCCTTGAGAATGAGAATGATGGTTTGGATTGTTTGATTGCTTTATTTTTGGTAAGCATTCCACTTATAGAAGTTACAGTTGGTCCTTGGTCTCTAAAAATGATCCACTGCAAGAGGTGTTCCATCCTAAAGGTTTTGCTGTATTAATATAATCTCCAGATGAATTATGATCTCAACATAGAGTAGTATTTTCTTCATTTTTGTCAACATGGATCTGTAATTAATTGATGTGTACAACATTCATATTTAAATCCAAATCAAAGCTTTTTGTACCTTTTCATTCTCAATGATCAATAGATTCAATATTACCAATACTGACTGAACAATCATTTTCTTCAAGCTACTGGCTGGGAATGTACATGGGGCAACCATGCCTTGGGTCCTGTTGATTAGATATCTGTGAATGTATTGCTTACTAAATGCAATGATCCAGATCTACCATATTGCAGTATTATTTGATTCCTGAGGTATGTATTACCATGTTAGGCCATAAGAAGTAGATTCTTTATTTTGCGTTTTGGCAAAATCCAAATCATGCAAGGGTATAGGAAAACAAACACAAACTCAAGAAAAACACAAACTTATTTGCTTAAGAAATGTATACATTTTATGAGCATAAAAAGGGATGACATACACTGATGACATACCAATTTACAGTGATTACAAAAACATATTTATACAACATATACAATATGTTTAAACATATAGATATTATTCAAAAGTAACCAAAACAAGAAAGTGCACAATGTATGCCAAAGTAATCAATAACACTGTCAATTTTGACGCACATCAAATTGTCTGTCATTTCTAATTCCGATTGAACAAAATGCAATGGTACTTCCATACCCTCTTCATTGCTATTTGGATGTGTTTGTTTTTCTGATTTACTCAAAATCGTGCAAGCAAAATGACGCAAAACAAAGAATCTACTTTTTATGGCCTTACATAAATTGATTGTATGTTAAAGGCCCTATATGAATGTAAAACCACTTTCGCTTATTATCCAAATGAACAATGTTCAGTAGGAATACTAGTATAGTGAAGTCCTTTGTCAAATAGTCTGTCCATCAATCTGTCAGAACATATGTTTGGAAAATAACTTGTTTACTAAAAGACAGATTTTTTTATTATACATACAGAAATTGTAGAAATCCAATTTCCATGTCATTCAAAGTAGCATGGGGAAAATTAGACTATTATTTTCAAATTTTGCATGAGACCTTTAATAAGTAATTGATCTCATTGCCCAGGTAATCATAAAATAGATATGCAAAGTATTTGCATAACTCCATATTTGACACCGATTCAAAAACCAAAAACAGGACTACTAATACTAAAAATACTTTTACATTTTTCATATTTTCTGATCAAGATCATTTACAACGTTGCTTTATTTTGGTTGCAGGAGTCCAACAACCCGGCACTGAGGCTTGTAGTGTAGTAAACTATTTCTGTGATATGAACTTACCTGCTGAAGTGATCTTTAAGGTATGTACTGAAAATCATCTAATTTTTGTGATGCATGATACATGATTGAGGTGTGTACTGAATGTAAAGAGTGATCCAGAAAGCCTTTCGATTTAAATCGGTAGAGATTAAAGGTGGATTGGATCGAGTGAATTTGATTCATTTAAAAGGTGGATTGGATCGGGAATCTACAAAATATGGAATTTCTTTAAGATTGTTTTTCTGTTTATTTTCCTCTTAGGTATTTCCCTCTCTAAAAATTTGATCACTTGTTCATTTGAGGAATCTGGAACAAAGCAATGACAAATACATACTCTGATAAGTTGATGGAATCTCCTAAGAATTCAACTGCTTTCCCTTGTAAATGAACATTTGTAAGACATAATAAAAATCGATCTGCACAATGTAGATAAAAACTGTCATTCAAATTGATGTGTGGATGTTCTAAAAACATTTCTTCTAATTTCTGTTTGGACTGAAAACAGATGATATGTATCTTCAAACCAGTCTGCCTTATGGTTTATGAGATGTCTAAAATTACACTTGGAATGAAGACTATATCACCCTTCTAGCCCATGTAAGCAAAATAATATTACATCTTTTATTTGATACTGTGGAAGTGAAGAGAGGACCAATCTTCTTAGAGGCTGACCAGTAGAATGTTTTAAGGAAAATGCACATTCTGAAGATTCCCGATCCAATCCACCTTTTACATGAATCCAATCCACCTTTACCTTTAAAGGTGCAACAATAAGTGCAAGGGGCATTCAACGATCACTGAGCAGTGTCAAAATATATTCAAGTCTGGATACTTCAAGACTACCATATATTTTTATTATTATCTGCAAAGAAACCCCCTGGATCAACATTTCTTCAACTGAAATTCCTATTGAAATGTGGTGAATCTTAAAAATCTATAAGTGGGACTCCCCTTATCAGCTTATAGAAGCTTTGAACTGAATTTACACTTCTTAATGCTGAAATTGACAATTTATCCATACATTTTAAGAAAATAGGTATGTCAAAGAATATGTTAAGCCAAATATTGACCTGATAGCTCAGAAAAAATATAAATTTTCGAATTTTCTCTCTACAGTCCTTGTTGCCCCTTTAATTCCTGTAATTTGTGTGCAAGTTCTAAGTTATAAATCATTGTAATAGGTCTTTACAGTATAATATTTTATTAAAAATAAAGTTTGTGAAATTTTTTATCCAAATTTTTGACAATTTGTTTTATAATTTTTGTAACACCAAGCCAGAATTAAATGTGCATTAAATCGCCTCACTTGTTTTCAGGTCACAACACAATACCTCATCAGATATCAAGCAAATGAACAGATGTCAGGAATCTCCAGAAATGAAGAAGAAAAATATTCGCAGTATTGTCCTCAATACACATTGGATGCTTGTGGATAAAAACAAAATATCATCTATATGTAAGATTTGGACTACAGAACAACATAATTTAAGAAGAACATCTAACTGCCATGAACATAATTTAAGAGGAACATCAAACTGTGCCATGACCTGGAGCCATGACTGACTTATTGTTGTTGCAAAGGAGAGAGTGTAGAGTGTTTGGAGCAAATTGACAGATAATAAATCCACATTTATTGAAAGAAGAACTCTATGGAATAATCTTTGTTTTCCTTGAACAAGTATGTGTAATATGCATTATAGGGGCGGATCTGGGAACCAACAAGGGGGGTCCAAATTTCAGGTCTTAGAAAAAAAATTCCCCGCTTTGCGCAAAAATTTTTTGGCCCCTTAAAACCCAAAAGTGGGCCCAAATTTTGAGGCCCATTTTCTTCAAAATTTGGCCTGAAATTAAAAAATAAGGCCCAGTAATGATCAAAAAGGCCCAATTTTTGGGGCTTCAAGGCCTTTTTAAGTCAAAAAATTTTTTTGGGCCCAATTTTTTTTCCGGGCCCTCAGCCCCCCCCAGATCCGCCAGTGCATTATGCAACAGAAATATATTATGGAATAAAAGAAATATTAACTTAAAGATTGTGTGTTGCTAGATCTGATTCATTCTTTACAACAAGTGATCTTTGGTATAGACATTTTAGATTTAGAAATCTCACTGTGAAAGATATTGTATCTTGATTTTATTGACTATGTCTACAATGCAGTATTGCCTCCGACAAAATATCTTTCACATTATGATTCAGCAGAGCCTTTAACTGAACCAACTCTAGAAGGTGTGATCACAAGTCTAGTATCAGTTGTATGAATAATGGAATAAAGGGTTTGCTAAATAGCTTTAAAATTTCATTGAAGTCTTATTTTGATATTTTCAAAATGATCTGCTTCCCTTAAAGACCATTTTTGAAATCGGAATTCTGTGTGAATTTTCTTTTAAAACACTTATTAACTTTTATTCAAATTTCCAGGATTTTCTTTTTTTAAGAGGTCATACTTCATCCCCATTGACACAGTCAAAAGTTATTTACTCTTGAGTTTCTCAAATGTTCATGTTAAATCAGAAAACACATGTCAACAAGATCGTTACAGTATTCTATATCAGGAACATGCTATGAATTAAATTGAAAAAGGCAACTTACTTAATAAAGCAAGAAATTGAATGACTTTTTGCCACTTGTCTATATTTTATGAATAATATTCTGGCCCTACCAATACATGTGCTGTGATCTGTTTATCCATCTATATGTAGAATGGTGACAGTTCATTCTTTATTATTATCATTTAAGTAGGCCTATGGTTAAAATATAATTAAGACTTAAAAGATTAAGATAAGAATTAATGACTGGATATTTTCTCAATAAAATTATCTCTTCCAACCTGGGATGAAGTAGAGATTCTCATTTTCACCATTCAAACCAAAATTGGTAAAAATAGGCCAATTTTTCATGATTTTTCTGTTCCAAGTGGGTGCAAATGGATTTTCAGGTGGGTGCAAGCCTATTTTCAAAATTATCAAATTCAAAGGAAAAATGTTAGCTCATCAAACATTCTTGTTTTTCAGTTACTAAATAACAGAGTACAATGAGATATATGTGACAAGATAAAAATCAAACCAACCTCTACTATTTAAAGCTAAAACATTCTTGTGACTTACACTCCCCATCAAATGTTTGGCAACTCTAACAGCCTAGTAGGAATACTATACATAGTACTGGTATATGTTAAAAACCTTTTTATGTTTAAATCCTTATTTGCACCACTTGTAATGAATCTTACTGAATAGGCTAGATATACCAAAATCTAATTTTTCTTCATTTATAATCCACCATTTATCATTGATTTAGCCTACATGGGAATGCCAATTTCAACATATTGTAATTAAGAATTTGGAAGATTAAGTTACATATCTCCACATTTATTCAAATTATTTTGATGGCAGGTTATGTCAAGGAATCCACCATAAACTGGCTAATGGGGACCTAACGTAGCCAAACTTTTGGAGGGGAGTGTACGTGTATAAGGTGGGAATAAAGCACAAATCGGTTAAAAAATTGGAAACCAGCATAAACTCATACAGATTTGTAATAAGTAACATCCATTGATATTTTCTTTTCATTCCACAGACTGAAGCAGGGGCGGATCTGGGAAACAACAAGGGGGGGGGCGTAAAAAAATTTTGGGCCCCTAAAACCCCAAAGTGGGCCCACATTTTGAAATTTTGAGGCCCATTTTCGTCAAAATTTGGCCTGAAATTAAAAAATAAGGCATTAAAAGACCCAGTAATGACCAAAAAGGCCCACTTTTTGGGGCCAAAATTTTTTTTGGGCCCAATTTTTGCCCCCAGGCCCCCCCCCCCTAATCCGCCAGTGTGAAGAGACCGATGCATCCATTTAGTTAATATAATTTATTTATCCCCGGTAAAAAACGTCATATCGCACCAGACGAAAACGCGCCTAATGGGCAACTCTATTGTTAAAATAGAACCTGGCGGCAAACGAAAAATATCCCGAATAATGTACGCAATTGATAATTTTCGTCGTGTACCTTCAATACTATCGTGGAATTGATGTATAGTATCAATATTGTGATTGTTTTTAATGTATTTAAGAAGGTTGTGTCCGATTTAACCGAAATAAGGTTATTTTAATCATCCTTCAAAGACCACTACAGAATGCCGGGAAAACACAAAATAATTTTGTTATTTGCTGGATGAAGAAAACTGTGAGACAAATACCACTATTATTGATCGAGAAAATAAGCTTTTTATGTGGTCTTTCTAGATCAAAAGAGATTGAAATTATTTTTTTATGTTAAAGGGGTCTAATTTATCGCTGAAGTAAGGGTTGTCAATGTAAACAAACATGTCGGCGAATTTGATTTCTCGTCTTTAAACAATAATATTTGTGCAATAGTTGAATATCAAATCACGGACGTTGATGATTTAGAAAGCCGATTTCAATAGCTCCATGCTCGTATATAAAAGTCTATATATCTCCCAATATTGATGAAATGAGAAGTAATTTTCTCAAGGTTACTACAATTTTTTTCGAGAATCCAGTGGAGCCATCTCGATACGCGCGAAGTTATCACGTCACTCCTTGGTGGGCACACGGGTGGACGAAAGCTCATTGTCCAAATCGCTCTCGTTTGCGACGTTAAACACAGAAGACGACTTCCCCCTGTTTTGGCTTCATTTCACTTTATTTGAAAGACTTTTAAAAATATAATAATGAGTCAGTATTTTTTCTTATAAATATTAATATTTGAAATTGAGGTCAAAGTCCGAAGATTTGATCAACTGATTGAAATCACATTTTAAAGAGGTGAAGAAGTGAATAATTACAGGAGCAAACGTGATCAATGGTTCGAGGTCTCCCGCAAAGTAGTCGCTACGCTCCTACTTTGCGCTGCCTTCGGCAGAGGAGACCTCAGAACGAGGTCTCCCGCAAAGTAGTCGCTACGCTCCTACTTTGCGCTGCCTTCGGCAGAGGAGACCTCAGAAAAATAATACCTAAATTAGAGCCTCCAACCCAGCGGTACGTTTTCACATAGCTAGTCATGCAGAATTACTTTCTGGCCAGTCAGAACACAATATAGAAAATAAACACGCTCAGTTGATAGTATTACATAAATCAAGGCGTCTAAAATCTTGTAACCAAAAGGCATTGAACCACGAGGCGATTTCGGTAAGCGTTACTCCTTTCTGGCCAATCAGAACACAGTATAACATGAAGACTTTTGAATTTACATTCGAGTTGCATAACGCATTGCCGATTAAAATCCATAACCGGTTCTGTTCGTGACGTCATGTTTTTTCCCGGGAAATCTTATTTTGCCACTAGTGAACAAACAGAATGAGTTAAGAGTCTGTTGGAATACCATTTTTACTTACCAATATCTGTTTAATCTATAGCAGTGAGAAAAAATAAACAGAAATTACCGAATTAGCACTTTAAATGAGTCGCCGAAAGAATGGTAGGTTAATCCGGTAGCTGAAATCTTCCATTCCCAAATCATAGTCTTAGCTTGTATTTGCAAATGCAACTAACGCCTGTCGGCTACCGGATTAACCTATTATTTTACTGGAAACTCATGTCAATACGAATAGTACCTGCCACTATTCCATTCATATTTAAATGACTTGGCCATATAATACTGGGTTAATCAGGTAGCCGACAGGCGTTAGTTGCATTCGCGAATATAGGGTTAGCTTGTATTCAATAATGCAAGAAACGCCTGTCGGCTACCGGATTAAACTACCTCTGGAGTCATCGGGGTTTTAAAGCGGCGTGCAAAGCGTAATCGGGTACACCCCAGTTCTCCGAAACCCAGTTGTCCGAAACCCAGTTCTCCGAAACCCAGTTGTCCGAAACCCAATTACCCGAAACCCAGTTGTCCGAAACCCATTACTCCGAAAAATAAAGTCATAATTTACCAGAGAAAGGGGGGGGGGGCGTAGCTTACTTAAGCTTACGTCAGTTTCATGCCATGCATTTGGCCAAATTAATGGCATGGACGCATTCTGATATTCATAGATCTCTCTCTCTCACTTTGAATTGCATCCATTGCATGGTGTTACCAGAATGGCAGGAACGGGAGATTTATTTTACATTGTGATTCTAAAAAAGGTTATTAAAACACAATATATATTACGGAACAGTTTATCTTATCTTCTTCAATCTCTTTTATATAGGCAAAATAAAATGAAACATTTTGAAACAGATAAAATAAGTTATCGCATAGAACTTTAAGAATAAAACAGTATACAAATTACGTTGTCAAAATATTTCGTCGCATTTAATTTCTTAGTCTCGGTCTCTTATATCAAATCGTAAAAGAATAAAACATTCTAAACTTAATCACTTGGGATTTATGTTTCGGCATTCGTTTCAGGCATTTGTTTTTATGTTCTTCTCCTGAAATGTATTTGTTTGACAATAATCAGAGAAATTGCGTATACGTATAAATATGCCACGCAAACAAACGGGTGTGACTTCAATTTCTTGTCTGTCTAAGGACGTATTGGGAACGAGGTAGAATTAAAGAATTCTTATGAACGAGTCATGCAAGATACTAGAACTAGTAAAGTAATGTATTGGATAAGTTAATTTCTGATGGATCTGGATAAAATATATTTCAAAACTTTGTCAACACTAGATAACTTCATTTAGGCAGATATAGTATCTTGATATATTTTGCTATCATGCGTTTAAAATACGTTCCTAAAACTA